TTACCAGCCTTGCTTCACTAATCTAAATGTATTCAGTGTTGGAGATTAAAACTTCAGACTTTTTTTCTCATAACAAATTTGATAACCTCTAATTCTGTTCCACTAATATCTTTATGACATTAAAATCTGGATGGTTTTCTCCTTTTCTTTTGGAATGAAATGTGAGTTTTTTTTCTTTTTCTTTAAGAGACAGGATCTCACTAATGTTGCCCTGGCTGGGCTCAAGTGATCCTCCTGTCTCAACCTCCTAAAGTGCTGGGATTACAGGCATGAACCACCATGTCCAGCCAAAGGCTAATATTTTCATAATCCTCTCACCCATTCAGAAATAGGCCTGAAGGACTCTTGGGATTTTGACTTTAGAGGTGATGTGCTTGCTTAACAGCACTGAGAAGGCAAGGTTCAACTCAGGAAACATGGGGCAGGAGCTGTGCTAGGCTTTATGGGTATAATAGTGAATAAGGCACATGAAATATAGATATTTGCAAGGAGCTAAGTACTCTAAGCAGAGAGATTGCAGAGACGCTTGACTGGGTGTTCTCTCAGCTAAGAGTTAAGGGGTCAGGAAAAACTTTTCTAGAGGAATGTAGCTGGTCTATGTTAAGATGCTGTGCAGTCCGAGGTGGGTGTTTGTAAACCTTTGCTCAGCACAGTTTCTAGCTCTTTGTGGCTGAGAGATCACTGGCCATTTGTAGGCTAGGAAAGCACTTCTCCCACTTTAATAGACCTTGGAATCACCTAGTGGGCCTGCAAAACACAGTTGCTGGTCCCTCTCCTCATGGTTTCCCCTTCATTATGTCTTGGATGGGGCCCAGGAATATCTATATCTAGCAAGTTCCCAGGTCATACTGATGCTGCTTATCTGGGAACTATACATAGAAAACCACTAGGCTAGAAATACTAGAATTAACCATTCTCTTTGGGAAGAGGAGAGAGGAATGAGAAGGGCCAGGATGTTATACCCAATTTTTTTTTAATTCAAGAGACAGTTTCCTCAAAGCATGGAAGATTTGCACTTTGTCCAAAGTTGTTTAGATGAACATAACATCAAATTTGTTATATTGACTCTTTTGATACTTAATGAAAATCATAAAGTCAGGTTTTATCTGATATTAATTTGGTACTTTGGTTAATAGTTATCGTTACTTTTAATTCTTTACCTTTTAAGGAGTTGGAAGAAGTAATCTTTTAAACTCTCCAAAAAGGTATTAGACATAGAATATTTCATGATTTTTTTTTATTTTTAAAGTTAATATTAACTAGAGAGAAATTTTTAGAATTTTTAAAAATTTTGTTTTAAGAAACAGGGCCGTGCTGTGTCACCCAAGCTGGTGTGCAGTAGCTCACAGAAACAGCCTGAAACTCCTGGGTTCAGGTGATCTTCCTGCCTTAGCCTTTTGAGTAGCTGAGTCAGACTACAGGTGTGCACCATTGCACCAGCCTAAAATGGTTTTTGAAATTTAAGGCTAAGGCTGTTGCTGCTATATTATTTTGATATTTTACATGACTTTTGGGAGTCTGCTTTAAAATACTTTATAAGTTGTATAAAAATTAATTTTGGTCTTTGGTCTCATCTTTGGAAAAACTATTTATTTGAAGGCTACAGTAAGAAATTTAGCAAGGATTCTGGCTCACCTTAGGAACATATTAACTCCTAACATTTTGCAGTAGTCTGGTCTGTCATGTTCTCTAAACATTGAACATAGTTATGTAGAATGCCACAGACTTACAACAACGTAAGAGAATTGTTAGGAAAAATAGATCAGAAGAAAAATCACCTTTGAGGAGAGAAAGTCAATGTTATGAACGAGAGAATTTATCTTAAGGAATAAAATGTTCACCTTTTTTTTATGCTTCATATTTATTACATGAATCTATCTTAGGGATTATAATATAAATATTTCTAAGATGATATTTCTAAGATGTTTATGTCTGGCTCAAGCAAGAATCTCATTAAAATAACCTTTTCCTTGCATTTTTTGTCCCCTAAGAGTCATATCTAGTTGCATACTATTTTCAGGTTCTACCTTGCCCTAATTCACTACAGACTTTATAGAGGTAGCAAAAAACAGAATGTTTTATTTCTCTTACGTTACTTGGATTGTCTATAATTGACATAATTACTTGTTATTTTAACATCTTGTTAAATATTCCAAGCAATTCTTTTGAGAAAACTCACCTAAACTTTGAACGAATCACCAAATTTTTTAATTAAAAAAGCACCCAAATACCTAAGGAGTTTGAAATGTAAATGGCAGTTTGTTCCTTATTATCTTTAAAGTGCTTCTTTATGCTGAATAAATTAGAGGGCTCAGACATTTGTGCTTTTCTCATCCCTCTGTTTTTTTAGCTGCAAATGTGATTTCTAGAATATCTTAAAATGAATTATTTATTATTTTTAAGTTTTTTATAGAGATGCAGTTTCGCCATGTTGCCCAGGCTGGTCTTGAACCTCTAGGCTCAAGCAATCCTCTTGCCTCGGCCCCCCAATGTGGGATTACCTGTGTGAGCCACCATGCCCAGCCTAAATGCATTCATAATAAAACAAAGATGAGAGTGGCCTGTTCAGAGCTTTCCTGGTTGTACCATTTTTACCACCGAAAATCCTGCAGCCCAGGAGACCCCTTCCTGTGGTACAAAAAAACTCATGGCAGCTATGATTTGCAGTTTACAATAGTGGATCATCCACTGATGCAATGCAAGTGTGATGCAATTGTGAGCAGTAACAATCTATCATTGACTTTGCCCATTGCATTAGCTGCTGTGATTTGTATTGACATAGTGTTAGTTTAACTTTCCACACTGTGAATACTGTGACTGCATTTTCTTAGAGTTCAGATAATGAAAATGAAAACAGTTATGATAACACCAGAGTGTCCCAGACATTACTTACAAGGAAAGTTATTGTATATGGAAATCTATCTGTTATTTTATATATATTAGTATATAATGATATGTTATAGACAGATGGAAAGACAGAAAATTAAATTAGGGAGATAGATAAGCAAAACAGAACATACTGCACAATAGACAGGAAAGAATTTGGGATTGGGCATTGTTATGGGTTGAATTGTGTCCCCTCCAAAATTCATAGGTTGAAGTCCTAACTTCTCATACCTTAGAATGTAACCTCAGTTGGAAATGGGGTCATTGTAGATGTAGTCAGTTAAGTTGAGTTTGTATTAAAATATGGTTTTAATACAAACTTAAATAACACTAAATAAACATTAAACATTAAATAAACATTAAACATAAATAAACATTAAAATATGGCCACTAATCCACGTTGACTGGTTTTACGAAAAGGGGAAATTTGGACACAGACATGCACATAGGGATAATGCCACGTGGAGATTGGAGTTAGGCTGCCATAAGCCAAGGAACTGCAGGAAGCTGGCAGAGAGTCCTGGAACAGATTCTTCCCTAGTGCCTGCAGAGAGCACATGACCCTGTCAACCACTTGATCTTGGACTTCTAGCCTCCATAACTGTGGGACAATACATTTCTTTGCTTAAGCCACCCAGTTTTTGCTACTTTGTTATATAGCAAACTAATATAGGCTTGGTGGAGGAGATGTGTGAGCACCTAAGGAGACTGTGTCTCACAAGTCTGGAATAAGACAGGCAAGCACATCTAAATTAATCTGCACTTCTTCCATCTTGTTTAAATAAAATCATGTATTATAACAGAAAACTAGTATAGAATAATAATTTCAAATAAATACTTATTCTTCATATTTCTGTGTTAAAGTAATAAAACCTGTGCACAATTCTGTCTCATATGTTGTTATGTCTTTGGACTGGTATGGGCTGTGCCCCGGTTGACTCTGAAAAGTTGGTCACCCCCTGTGCATACAGTACTCCTCCTGCCTGCTGTCTCTCTGTCTTTGGCCATCCCTCCTTCCTTCTGCCTCATCACACATTTCAGTATTGCTAAGGATAATGAATTTGTGATTATAAAAAGTTTTAGATTAACCTTGTTAAAGGTAGTTTTTAGAATCTAGTTTAGAATTTTGAATCCCTAAAATAATTTTCATGGATAAATACTAAAAATCATCAATTAAAAAGTTCACCTGTTTTTTAAAAAAATGTTTCATATTCTTCTCATTTGGAAGGCAGCATGATATAGCCAGTAGAAAAATAGTTGCCAAACTTTCATGTATATCTAATGTATTGGGATGGGGAGGACTGTTTTCTTTGGCATGTAATCATAATTCTGATTTAACTGCAGGTGCTGGAGTGACTCCATTTACTTGGTAGCAATTTTTAAAGTATATTAAGTAACATTTTTAGAGTGTATACTTTTGGTCTTCTTTCCAATGTTTACTAACTGTGCTAAACTTTTCATATTATTAAACTGGTGGAATGTATTGGGTATTATGCTTAAATTTAGAAAGATCCCAAAGATCCTAAATTTAGCTCTAGGATCTTCTGATTGGCAAATATATTTTTCAGAACAAACATGGTGGCACATGTTGTCATACTGGGCAGATATACGTCTGCTCACAGGCTTATGTATTGTTATTTAGGATAAGTGCTTTTTTGAGATTTTTAAGGTGCTTCCACTTAGTAATGGATATAAAAGTGAGTTCTTAATAGGTATTAAATTGTTTTAAAACTCCTCACCTTCTGAAATTCACCGTACTTTGTGATCACTCTTTTCTACAGTAATTTGAAAATGCCATCACTAATGGTTATTTACAGAGTTAACTTGTTCAGTGTGAAACAACTGCTTGAAGCCAATTTTCACAAGTGGACATTATATACATAAGTGAACAGAAGTGTATAATTTACTGTTTTTTAAAAATAATGTAGAATTCTAAGGATCATTCTGTATTCTCATGAAGAAAATCAGTTTGACAGTAAAAGGTATAAAACTTCTTGATCTGTGTTGGTATTGATTGTTATATTATGCTGAGAAGCTATTGGATATTTCTGTGATATTTGGGAATTTTGTTTAGAATGTTATCCTTGACATTGTGTTTTATGTTTATCATCCAGAAAGACGGAGTGCTGGCATACGTTGGGAATTTTCGCCTGCTTGCAGAGCTTTCCAGCCCGTTTGTGAATCAGCGGTATGGTATTGATATTGTCGATTATCTTAAGGTCATACTGTTTATTTTTAGTTTGGGCAGATCCTTTTCCGTGATCCTAAAGTTACTATATAAAAGATGTGGAGGCCAGGTGCAGTGGCTTATGCCTGTAATCCTAACACTTTGGGAGACTGAGGCAGGCGGATTGCCTTGCACTCAGGAGTTCTAGACCAGCCTGGGCAACATGGTGAAACCCCATCTCTACTGAAATACAAAAAAAGTTTGATGGGTGTGGCAGCATGCACCTGTAGTCCCAGCTACTTGGGAGGCTGAGGCAGGAGAATACTTGAATCTGGGAGGGGGAGGTTGCAGTGAGCAGAGATTGTGCCACTGCACCCCAGCCTGGGCGACAGAGTGAGACTCAGTCTCTTAAAAAAAAAAAAAAAAAAAAAAAAAAAAGCCTGGTCAACATGGTGGAACCCTGTCTCTACTAAAAATATAAAAAATTAGCTGGGCATGGTGGTGCATGCCTGTAATCCCGGCTACTCGGGAGGCTGAGGCAGGAGAATTGCCTGAACCCAGGAGGCGGAGGTAGCGGTGAGCCGAGATAGCGCCATTGCACTCCAGCCTCGGTAACGAGCGAAACTCCATCTCAAAAAAAAAAAAAAAAAGAGGCAGTCTGTGAATCTGTGATATGAATTGTTATCACCATCATACAAATGAGGAAAGTGAGCCTTGGAAAGGTTAGAGTAACTTATCCAAATTCCCCTAGCTAGGAAGTGGTGGCACTACCTTTTAAACCCTGCTCTTTGCAGGACAATGATGCTTTATGATGCCTGCTTCCAGCACATTCTTTCACCCTCCATTTTGTACACTTCAAGATGAATGGTACACACTGCATCTTAGAATTTTGTTTATAGAAAAAGGTAAATACTACTCTGGCTCATTTTGGATCTAGTTCATATTCCTGACACTGACTTCCTCCTGTCCCCAAATTCTTATACTGAGATTATCCTAATGCCTCATTGAAAAACATAATATTTTTATTTTTTTAAATGTAAAAGGCTACTTTTGGCTGGGCTCAGGGGCTTGTATCTCTAAATCCCAGCACTTTGGGAGGTTGAAGCAGGAGGATTGCTTGAGGCCAGGAGTTTGAGACTAGCTTGGGTAACTTTGTGAGATACCATCCCTACACACACAAAAAGAGAAAGAAAGAAAATTAGCTGGGTGTGATGGTGTGTGCCTGTAGTCCTAACTGTTTGGGAGGCTAAGGTGGAAGGATTGCATGAGTCCAAGAGAGTGAGTGGTGAGTCCAGGAGTTTGAACTGAGATTCAGCTTGGGCAAAACAGAGAAACCCTGTCTGTAAAAAATTATTTTTTAAAAAGACTACTTTTATTTTAAATATACAACAATGTAAATAACAATTTGTAATATTGATAGCCATCACTGGGGAATTATTATTATTTTTGAGATGGAGTCTCACTCTGGAGTGAGTGAGGCTGGAGTGCAGTGGCACAATCTTAGCTCACTGCAACCTCCACTTTCCAGGTTTAAGTGATTTTCCTGCCTCAGCCTCTCAAGTATCTGGGATTACAGGTGCACATCACCACACCTGGCTAATACTTGTATTTTTAGTAGAAACGTGTTTTTGCCATGTTGGCCACTCTGGTCTTGAATTCCTGACCTCAGGTGATCCACCCATCTTGGCCTCCCAAAGTACTGGGATTACAGGCATGAGGCACCACACCTAGCCCATCTCAACCATTTTTAAGAATACAGTGCAATTGTGTTAAGTATATTCACATTATTGTGCAACAGATCTTTAGAACTTTTTCATTTTGCAAAATTGAAACTCTACCCTCATTAAATACTAAATCCCTCTCCTGCAAGCCCTAGACAACCACCTTTGTACTTTCTGTTTCGATTTTTATTAAATAATTCATATAAATGGAATCATACAGTGTTTATCTTTTTGTGCCTGGCTTATTTTGCTTACTCTAACGTCCTTGAAGTTCATCATGTTGTAGCATGTGACAGGATTTTCTTCATTTTAAAGACTGCATAATATTCTGTTGTAATAACACATTTTCCTTATTCATCCATCCATGGACATTGAGATTACTTTCACCCATTGGCTATTGTGAATAATGCTGGAATGGACATGGACATACAAATATGTTTTTGAGACCCTGCTTTGAATTCTTTTGGATATATTTCTAGAAGTGGGATTTCTGGATCATATGACGGTCCTCTTAATTTTTTGATGAACCTTCATACTGTTTTCCGTAATGCATATATCTTTTTCCGTTCCCATAAACAGTGCACAAGGGTTCTGATTTCTTCATATCCTTATCAACACTTGCTATTTTCTGTTATTCTGATAGTAGCCATTCTAATGGGTGGAGGTGATAGCTTGTGTGTGTGTTTTTTTTTTCTTTTCTTTTTTTTTTGAGACAAGATCTCTGGTTCCCAGGCTGGAGTGTAATGGCATGATCTTGGCTCACTGTAGCCTCAACCTCTCAGACTTAAAGGATCCTCCCACCTCAATATTCTAAGTAGCTGGAACTACAGGCCAGCTACTTAGAAAATTAGTGACCACACCTGGCTAATTTTTGTATTTTTTGTAGAGATAGAGTTTCGCTATGTTGTCCAGGCTGGACTCCAACTCCTGGGCTCAAGCAGTCCTCCCACTTTGGCCTCCCAAGATGCTGGGATTACAGGTTTGAGTCACTGTGCCCAGCTGGTCATGTGGTTTTGATTTACATTTTACTTTGATTCATGATGTGGAGCATCTTTTCGTGTATTTGTTGGCCATTTGTATATCTTTGAAGAATTGCCTGTTCAAGTTCTTTGCCCATTTTTTCCTTTTTTTTTTTATAAATGCAGTTTTGCTTTGTTGCCCAGTCTGGAGTGCAGTGGCACAATATCGGCTCACTGCAACCTTCACCTCCTGGGTTCCAGTGATTCTTGTACCTCAGCCTCCTGAGAAGCTGGGATTATAGGCATATGCCTCCATGCCAAGCTAATTTTGTATTTTTAGTAGAGATGGGGTATTGCCATGTTGGCCAGGCTGGTCTTGAACTCCTGACCTCAAGTGATTCTCACACCTTGACCTCCCCAAGTGCTGAGATTACAGACATGAGCCACTGTACCTGTCCCTTTGCCCATTTTTAAATCGGGTTATTTTGTTGTATTAGTTCCTTTATATTCTGAATATTAATCCTTTATCAAATATAAAAGCATAGGTTGCTTTTCAGCAAACAGTCTGCTGACTGTTTCCTTTGATGTGAAGAAGTTTTTAAAGTTGATGAAGTCCCATTTGTCCAGTTTTGTTTTTGTTGCCTGTGCTTTCGATATCATATCCAAAAGATCATGGCTAAGTCTAATGTCCTGAAGCCTTCCCCCTATATTTCGTTCTAGGAGTTTCATTAGTTTGGTCTTATGTGTATGTCTTTAATTCATTTTGAATTATATATATATATATATATATATATTTATATATGGTATAGGGGTCCAGTTTCATTCTTAGAATGTGGCTATCTAGTTATTCCAGCACATTTGTTGAAGAGACTGTCTTTTCCCCATTGTGTAGTCTCAGTACTCCAGGGTTTGATTTCTACAACAGCTTTCTAACTGACTTCTCTAATTCCAGTCCTCTCATTCCTTTCCTCACAGTGTTACTGGCATCATCTTTCTTACATTCCACTTTCAATACCTTATTTTTCACTAAAAACTGCATCCTGTTTACACATCTGTCTCTGACTTCTGAAGTTCCCTGTGATGTGCTCCATATGTCTTCAGCCTCTTTTTTTAAACCATTCATTAGAATCAGTTTTGTATTCTTACTGTCTTATGTTCCTTTGGGTTTTTCTCATATTTCTTTCTTTATTCATATCCTCCATTTTCTCTCCATCTTTGAAAAATTTATGTATCCTTCAAGTCTTAGTCAAAGTCTAAAACCCAGGGCAGGCTTCTATGATTATATGTTGTCCTCTGTTACTTAGTACAGGGTTAACACAGAAAATTGGGATTATTCCACATCAGAGACACATGAGTTAAAGTGCCTACCCTGAATCAAGCCTCATGAAATATTTTGAAGATACTGGCCATCGGAGGCACAGGCAAAGCAGGAGGAAATACCTTCAGGGCCATTGACGGGGTCGCTAGGTCTGTGTGCATAGGGTACACTCTGGAACAAGATTACTTGTGAGGTTTCTTTTTAATAATAATTTTATTTTTTATTAAAATTTTTGTTGAAGCATTAGACCACCTGGGAACATGTGAGGTCTCTAAGTGATGTGTGCAGTTCATATCATTGACATACAACGAGGTCTCTTGGTGATAAAACACCTCCACTTAGTCTTGAATTACAAAGCTTATGTGACATTCTTGAGGGGGTCAGATCTCATAAACCTGTCCATTCCTGGGTCATATACCATAAGTAATCCTAGACTAAGTATGTTCTGCTAAAAGCATCCCATAGATGAAGCCTTTCCTGCTACAAATTTTATTAGTCTCTTTATCAAGAGGTCTGGCATTAATGTGTTACCAGGTGATTAGCCTGGATTAGCTGTCTTTTCTTTTCTTTTCTTCTTCTTTTTTTTTTTTTTTTTGGAGATGGAGTTTGTTACCCACGCTGGAGTGCAGTAGTATGATCTCAGCTCACTGCAACCTCCACCTCCGAGCTTCAAGCAATTCTCCTGCCTTAGCCTCCTGAGTAGCTGGGATTACAGTTGTCCACCACTATACCCAGCTAATTTTTGTATTTTTAGTAGAGATGGCATTTTACCATTTTGGCCAGGCTGGTCTCGGACCGTTGATCTCAGGTGATCCACCTGTCTTGGCCTCCCAAAGTGCTGGGATTACAGGCCTGAGCCACTGCACCCGGCCCTTTTTTCTTTTTCTTTTTGTGAGGCAGTCTCGCTGATCTTCTCCCTACTTCTCTCTGGGTGAGTTCTTCCCTCCCAAGGTTTCAGCTCTTAACTATTTACTCATCTGGGTGGAAGGCACTATGCCTTAGTTTTGGAATCAGATAAATTCA